CTTAAACAGCAAAATCTCAAATTTAGTACATAATTGCATTTTACTTTATGTCACATTCTAAAGTTTCTAAATCACCTTTTTCTCATCTGAGATTATAACCATTCACCGGTGCTGTTGAAGTCCTTGTAGTGTCCTCAGTAATTACTATTACCATAGAGGCTTAGGACAGTTTATTTTCCTTTTGTAGTTGATGGTGCTACAATAGTAAGTGTATTGAGTAATTGCTGTCATTCTTACATTAATTCATGCTGTGTGCAAAGTATTGTTGCTTTACAACTGGGCATAAAGCATAGGGTTAATTTGTTGCTGCAAATAGATATCACAATAACATTTTATAAAGAGATTTCTTTTCCAGAGACTTATTATTTTATATGTAAAAATTAGTTTTTAATTTCATGAAACTTTTTTTTTTTTTTTTTTTTGAGGCAAGGTCTTGCTTGTTGCCCAGGCTGGAATGCAGTGGCATGATGAGGGTTTGTTATAACTGAGCGAGTTAGAGAAAGCATCACACTCTTGAGTTCTGACTGAGAGTCCTTTATTGCTGGTGACCAAGAGTCAAGAGTCAGCTTATGCTCAAAAATCTCTTGGGCCCCAAAGAAGGGGCTTGATTCCTTTTTATATCTTGCTTAGAGAAGGGGAGGGGGAGCCTAGCTGAAGCAGAATTTACAGAAGCAGAACAAGCAATATTTAGGGAGGCTGGTGACCAGGAGGCCGGAGGTTCCCATGATTATTGATTACTAAGGAGAGTATACACAAGCGATTCCCATGATTGCTGGTTACCAAGGGTGGTATTCAGTACTTGTCATACAATCAATCAAGGGGATATTCACAATAACAAGTGGGCTTGCCAAGCAGGATATGGTTACAATGGTTATATGTTTCTATAGTTTTAAGTACAGCATGACCCAGCACAGTAGCATGACCTAGGTATGCACTCAATTGGGAAATGGCAGGAGGGGTAAGGAGGAGGTTAAAAAGGAGTCTGTCTGGCTCTCAACAAGATGGAGTATGTCTGGCTAATACAGAGAAGGTTAGCACAGGTTCACTGTAGCCTCGACTTCCCAGGCTCAAGCAACCCTCCAACCTCAGTCCCTCAAGTAGCTGGGACTACAGGTGTGTGCTACTGTACCCAGCTAATTTTTACAAATTTTTGTAGAGATGAGATCTTGCTATTTTGCCCAGGCTGGTCTCAAATTCCTGAGCTTAAGCAGTCCTCCTATCTCGGCCTCCCAAACTGCTGGGATTACAGGCGTGAGCCACTATGTCCAGCTAATTTCTTGAAACCTTAAAATTACTTTTGGTGGAGAGGGAGGTGTAGAGGGGAATGAAGAAAGTCAAATAAGAAGATAAAGTGAGTATAAAATATCTTAGGATGTCACTGTATATTGATCTCTGCCAGAGGGAATGCTTACCAGAGAGTCAGGTCTTCCTAATGCTTTTCTTTACTGCTGTCTTACTGATTTCCTATGTTGTCCACTGTACTTACTACTATGGCATGCTAATGGGATGTGGGAATTAAGACCAAGGTCTGAAGTCAGACTGCATTGGATTTACATGCCCTGCCACCTAGCATCTATACAAACTTGGGTACATTACAGCCTCCCTACGTCTCTGATTTCCTCTGTAAATGGGGATAGGAGCACTATGTAACTTCCTTATAAAACTGTCACCTGAAAGGTAAAGTGCTTAGCATAGTGCCTGGCCCATAGTATACATGCGGTAAATGTTAAAATAATAGGGATGAGTTATTGTAAGCCCTGTCTGTATTCTGTTTTCCTTAAAGTGCTGTGTAACATTCAAGTAGGACATCAGACATTTATTTTTATTTACTAATTATAAATACTATACGTTTAGTGATTGTGTTACTTTATTTTTATTTTTAAAACTTTATACATTTTTCTAACTTGAAAATTTTATAATCCAAGATGTATACATATGTCTCTTCTATCTTTGTCCTTGTACATTGGTTCCTTGTATACCAAACAAACAATTGAAAAAAAATAAACTGAGATATATCCTGGTCTCATATTTGTAGAAAATGATCTCCCCTGATTCTTTCCTTTTCTTTTTCCCTCATGACCAATTAGCCTGTCTTCTAAGAACCCATCTTATAATATCTTATCAGAAACCTCTGTGGAATAGTGATATGGGGTACATAAAAAGTAAAAGTAAAGATACATAAAGCATAAATAAAGCAGAACAAGTACTTCCAGTAGAGGGAGATGTAGGCCAAGTAATCAAGCCGCATACCATGCAGGTGCGATAGGCAGCAAATTTCAAGTTTGTCCTGCTTAAAAAATCTAAGTAGTAATTGATTTACTAAATATAAGTTAAGTAACACTGGAATTTCTGTTTTGTTTGCCAAATCCAAAGTGATTATATAAGTACCTAGGGAAGAACTGTGAGGACTGTATGTATGAATTGTCATTGCCCCATCACTTTCTCACTTTTCAGGGCTGGAGAGAAGACTAGATCATCAATGCCTCTCTTTCTCTCTCTCTTTCTAAATCTTTAAAAATAGCAAGTAATGGAAGTTACAGGCTGGATAACTTGAAAACAAAGAAAGTACAGCAGCTATATTTTTATGATTCAAAAACATTTTTTTTCATGGAGTTCTAGACTATCTGAGTAAAGTAGGGTTAGCCCTGAATACCATAAACTGTTGCACTGAATTAGAACACTGTTATTTTTTTTAATTATTTTTGAAAAAATAATATTGTAATTTAGATCTTTAAATTTCTGAAATTGCTGAGACCTGTAATTAAAGAAAATCAACAGCATTTATTTCATGTTGGATTGGATTTTTTTCAAGTTTTTTCAGTAGGATAGTTAAGTTGATTTTAATGTTTACTTTTCCAACAGAAACATGACAATTCTTTCTTTTGGCAACATTGTCCAATAGCTAACTATTATAATGGTCCCTCTGCACTTTGAGATTTAATACTCTTATTCTATCACACTCTAAGAAATTGCTGCCTTGGAACCTGGGGATGTTGAGACTCCCCTTAAACCTGAGATTACTTAATAATTGACTGAGTTTCCACTTTGTATGATGGCTAAATATTTTGATGTGGATTTTATTACTTTTGGCTGAGTTTGTAAATTCAGTTTATAAAATATCAACAGAAATTTACATCATGTACAACATATCTTAAATGAATTTACTCTAGTAATTTTAATTTCTGGTTAGTTGATTCAGAAATGGAAGGTACATATCTCTGCTGATTTTATTCGTATTAATGAATTTGGTAAACATTACTACCACCAGCTTAACAGATATTAGCTTAATATGTAGTTTTTATTTAGAATTCTACAAACCCTCATCACTTATCTTGCTTTAAGTTTTGTCAGGTAGCATCATTATTCTTTGTGTTTAAGAATTTTTTTAATTTAATAAGTAACTACAGAAGATCAGCTATGCTATAGAAGACTTTGTAGCCTACAGTATGGATTTTTTCTTGGTAGAACTAAACTTCTTCCCTGGATTGCAACATGGTTTCATGAGGTGAACATTTTGCATACTTCATTAAGCATAAGATGTGTATTTTTTTGAATTATTCAAAATAGTTTTCAATGAATGGGCCTGATTGGACTTTCCCATCTAATGAGTATCCTTGAACCACTACAGACAAATTAGAAGTCTTTCTTTTAACTCTTTTAAATAAATTAACATGCCTTAAAAATTACCTTAGAACAATGAGATTGAGCTTATCTGTCAGTGCCTATGTGCATCCATCGGAATAAGCAGGATGTGCTGTAGTAATAAGCTTAAAACTCACTGACTGAAAGCAATGAAATTTAATTTTTATATATGCTCCGTGTTCATTGTAGTTTGACAGTAATGCTGTCCTTGTAGTCACTCAAGAATTCAGGCTGAGGAGTGTTCCATCTTGACACACGCTTCCATGACAGAGCTGAGAACAAAAAAAAGCTTACTGAATCTTCTGATACTCTTAAAACTTTTGCCCGAAAGTGGTATGGTTCACCTTGGTAAGATGCGGCCACATCTGAGTTCAACAAGGTTCGTGATCCTCCTACAGAGGGGACACTGGATATTTGCAAACAGTACAATGGCTATTCATTCTAGTCTAAATTAATATTTGGAAACTACTGGCAGTTACATACTAAACTCATAGAGTGTCTGGTTTAAAACTGGCCATGGGAAGAAAATGAGTTGTTTTTACCAGGTTATAATCTGATTAGTTTTGGAATTCATACTGACAGTGCATTGAGAACATGCACTCTGCTCCCCTGCCACAAATCTGCATCATACAAATGATGCAAGAACTGTTTTACAGGGACATTTATTTACCACTGGGGATATTACCATTGTTCCTCATACAGTGTGAACAGGGAGTAACAGTGTTGCAGAGGCTGACTACCTTTAAATGCATGGTTATAGGCCAGCCAGGACAGTTTTTAAATTTAATAAATGCATTACTCCAGATTTTAACCCCCCTGCTTTTTCTCCCTTCCTCTCCCCTTCTCTCCCTTCCTCTCCCCTCCCTTCCTCTCCCCTTCTCTTCCTTCCCCTTCCCTTCTCTCCCTTCCCCTCCCCTCCCCTCCCATCTGCTCCCTGCTCCTTTTCCTTTCCTCCCTCCCTCCCTCCCTCCCTCCCTCCCTCCCTCTTTCTTTCTTTCTTTCTTTCTTTCTTTCTTTCTTTCTTTCTTTCTTTCTTTCTTTCTTTCTTTCTTTCTTTCTTTCTTTCGTCTGTCTCAGTCTTTGTCTCTGTTACTTTCTTTCCATTAAAAAAGGCCTGACTGTAATTTGGAGTTTAAATTTTTAATTGCATAAAATATTAACAGAAAACTGGTGTTCCATATAGCTAATTGTTTAAATAGTAAATATAAATGGAGCCGTTAGATATATTGCCAAAATTCACAACAAGATGAAAGTATTGGAATTGGTTATAAAAACTAAGTAGTGCTCATTTGCTGTTTATTAATATCACACAAATTAACAATTAATTAATGCTGAAAACTTTATCTTCACTTTTTTAGATATGACTGATTTTCCCAAAATATTTTGTGAAACTTCTCAGAAGCTGGTGAGTGTGGAAGCCTTTGCTCTGGCTGCGAAATACTATTCCATACAAAACTTGGGAATATGTACTTCTTTTGAACAGTTGCTGGTAGTCCTTCAAGGAAATCAAAACCAGAGAATTGGTATGTCTATTTATGTGTGTATAAGTGTACCTGTTAGGTACTTAGAAGCAATACTTTGTTCATATATGTGTATATTTCCAAAATATTAATTTATTGTTTAATTTATAAGCCCTGACAAATCAGCTTTTAAGAGTAGGTTTTCCCTTGTACTATATTAAACAGAACAACTTACAGATCTCCACATTTTTTTCTACATTAACCCTTTACTTCAGGTAGTTTCTGCCCCTCAAACACAGATCACAGTGAGTTACTACTGATTCCAAAATCTTCATTATTTTTGTTACAGCATGCTAATGTTCTCTATGGGAAGAGGGTGGGAGGAGTGGAAGGGGACAACTGGGGATGTGGGGAGAAGCATGAGTGTCAGAAAGTGGGGATGGTACAAATTAAAAAAACAAATATGGTAATGTGGTAGATCAAAACTCAGCCATATCAATAATTATATTCAATGTAAATTGATTTTACATCCCAATTAAAAGGCAGAGATCAGAAAGAAGGCTGTGGTTAAAAAAAAAACAGGTTATTTTATCTTACACAAACCTCTTTCATATCTTTTATCGCATTTGATCCTCATTGTTTCTCTCCCTTTTTATTTTGAAAACTTCCAAACCTACAGAAAAGTAATAAGAATAGTACAATAGACCCTGTATACTTTTCACCTAGAATCATGTGTTCCCATTTTGCCACACTTGTTATAATTCTCTTCTACACACACACACACACACACACACACACACACACACACACAAACTCTCTCTCTCTCCCCCCTTTTTCTGAATCTTTTGAATGTAAGTTATAGATACCATATCACTTTACTCTCAGATACTTCACTCTGTGTCTCAAAAGAAAAAAAGCATTCTCCCACATATCCCGTAGTTTATTAGCACAGTCAGGAGTTTACCATTGTTAGTGTAGTATTGTCTAATAAGCAGTCTATATTCAAGTTTTTAAAATTTTTCCAAGAATATCTTTTACAGCCATTTTTTTTCTTCATACAGGAGTCAGACTAATTTCATACCTGACATTTAGCTGTCATGTCTGTTGTGTCTCTTCAGTCTGAAATAGTTTCTTACCCTTGCTTTTGTTTTTCCTGACACCAATACTTTTGATACCTATAGGCAGGTGTATTTTATTGTTTCTCCATGATTAGATTCAAGTTATGCATTTTTGATAGGAATACTACTTAAGTGATTCCTTTTTTAGATACCAGATTCAGAAGCACATATAATTTTGTCACATTATTGGTGATAATAAGTTTACTCACTTGGTAAAGGTGGCTCTATTGGCGTTCTCTGTTGTAAAATGACCCTTTTATCTTTGAATTCAATTCTTTTATTATTTTAACGTCTTTTTTTTTTTAAATCTCTGTAACCACTTTAAGCAAAATTATTTTGTAGTTCTCCCTGGAACAAGAGAGGGACTGTTTGGTGAATTATGGCTCTTGGTAAGAACTATTAGAGCTGCAAATGAGTTCACCAGCAGCATTACTATAGGGACTGTAGTTGACTGGCAAGGAAAGCTCTAAGGAGAACACTCTATCCCATATGCTGCTGACTGGCAATAAATGAGTATACCTCTGTGTCAAGGGTTTCATCCTTGGCCCTTCCCCTGATTTATAAAGTTTAAGGGCCATATTTTGAGCATCAGAGTGAGTAAAGATGTTGTGTCCTAGGCAAGAACAAACAACAAAACCACCATTCAAGGTTGGGATGCACTCTGTTGTGTCCAGTATAAGAAAGAGTTGACTTAGCCATGTAGAGATGCATGCTGGTGATAGGTGAGAGAGGAGGGGCTATATTCTTCATCCTGCAGTAATCAGCATATTTGTTTACTAGGTTAGTATCTGCCAGCAGAATGACATTGTTGAATTAAGACGTCTCCTTTGGAGACTATGTCCTAGAGTGCCCTCAGAATGTTGCCAAGAAAGTATTACCTTTCATCTATAGGACCATGAGTAACCAGCATCCATATCTGGAAAGACCTCATTAAAACCCAGTATTCCAATGTGGTAATCCCAGGTTAAGCTTATACCAAAGCATTCACAAATGTGAACATTGTCATGCCATAATAACCATTCCAGCCCTACATTTCAGTTACCCACCACCCAACTCCCACATGGCTGACGTTGACTGCCTTGTCATATGCTCTTTGGCCATTTTAATGTACTTTATAATGTGTAGCATACAGTATTATACTCCAAAGTGCAGTTCTAGAGTTCTGCAATGATGGAAATGTTCTGTGCTTGTGCTGCTCAGAACAGTAGAAACTAGCCACATGTGGCTGTTAAGTACTTCACCCGTGGCTAGTGCAGCATAGAATCTTAATTTTCAATTTTATTTGATTTAAGTATAAATTGCAGTAATCACATGTGGTTAAGTAGCACAGGTATTAGACAGCACAGGTAATGAAATGACTAAGTTTTTTTTCCTCACTTTTCTATTGGGTGATTCTTTTCATATTAATTTGTTGGAGTTTGTTTTATTTTATTCTTAGGTACAGATTCTCTGGAAGTATATGTGTTGGAATTATCTTCTCCCATTTGAGACTTGCCTTTTTACTCTCATAATGTTGTCTTTTGATGGAAAATGTCCTTTGTAGTCCAATTTACCAGTCTTTTTCATTGTAGTTAATTGTTAAGGAATAATTTTAATGTTCTATGGATTTTTATATTTACTTTATTAATTCAAATTTGATTTATAGTGGCCAAGTTAGTGGAGGTCTATCATCCAGAAACTGCAGTAGAATCTCTATATTATTTTTCTACTTAATTCAAAAAATATGAATATCAACTGATAATTCCTACTAAATTTTGATTCTTCAATAGCAGTATTTTACTTTTATTTTCATTAGGTAAAACTTTGAAGGCAGTTGAGTTTATGAATATGAAGAAATCTCATGAAGTTCAGGCAATGTCAGAGCTGATCAGCAGTATTGCTGACTACTATGGACTAAAGCAGGTGAGAATATTTCCCTATATTTTTAGGTATTAAAATTATTGCCACTTTTTGGTATTATTCAAATTCCACTTTTTTACTGTCATGTAGCCTTTAAAATGTCATTAAATAGTAGCATCATTTAAACATTAGTTCCTTTAAACATCAGATTCTTGAAGCATACGCTGTTATTTTCTAGTATATTACAAAAAATTTATAGTAAGATCAAGACATGACTGTTAATGTTTTACCACAAATTTTACTCTTTTCAGAATATATGGAAGTTGAGGTTAATTCTCTTTGATAAATTGTCACTCCAGCTTGAGGCAGCATTATGAAGATGACATTCTGCAAAGCTGTTTGCTGCCAGATGTTTTCAGGAGATGGGTTACGATAGTAACACAAAGTAGTTATGTTTTTAAGACTTGGATTATTTCATAGTGTTTGATTCATGATACATTCCTGTTTTGAAAAATAGTTCTTATGATAAGTAGTGATGTTGGAAAGTATATGTTAAAATAAGATTAATGATTGTATACATTGGCCTATAAAAATAGTAAGTGATTTTTCTTGTTCCTGTTTTATAAAAACTGCAAGTCTTTTCCTTAGCTCTCAAAGAAGATCAGTGGTGGCAATAGAGATTTTCCTTTCTTAATTTTTATTAGGTATTAGATTCTTTCCATAAATTCACCAAAATTAGAGATTTGAGTATGATTAGAAAACTATGAAAGTTTGGCTTCGGCATGCAGAGCCACTGTGGCAACATAGATCTCTTGGGTAGGGTATAGAGTAAAAGCTAAGGTAATACTAGTTTTCAACCTTTTCTCCGTATTATCATACTTAAGCAATAACTATCAGTATCAGGAACAGGCTTACTATGACAATGATACATAGATGAAGTAGAAGAGGCAAGTCCTTCCCCATGGTGCCGTATCATAATCTTGGGGAGTGAGTGCTGTTTCTAAATATCCTTCAGGTGGCAGCTGCCATCTATTAAGAGCAGTAATAATGGGAATGGTCTCTAGAGGAATAAATGCATAGTTTAGTTAGAATTAAAAGGGGCATAACAAGCTCAAGCTTAAGGCATCAGTTAATAACAGCAAGTCCACTGGAGACGACAAAGCCCTAAAGACAGAAAATTCAGATGGCTAGTAGTCAGGTAAGCCAGATAGAGGTTCTGTACATGGATGGTACGAATCCAGTTGCAGTGTAGGATAATGGAATAAAGGTCCAGTCTTGAGTGAAAATCTTGTTGGAATGAGGCAGAACAACAACAACTGGACTCAGATTTCACATAGAAACCAAGGCGAAGACACCCAGTCTTTTAATTTGGGAATACAAAGCAGAAGCAGAAAAATATAAAAGTGGCCAAAACATAATGTGTACTGTGTGAAAGGGATTTTAGTCAGGATACTTGTGGGTTGATTTACAGATTTTTTTAAATTACAAATATAATGATGTACACTGTGTAAGATTTATATATTCTTTAAATATAATTCAGTCTTATTCAGTCTTAATCACTTTCTAGCCAATGTGCAAAAATTTGTCCCTAACCCTAACTTTATTGAGATAATACATGAACTAATTTATTAATGTTAATTGTATAATGTGATGTTTTGTTACTATGTGTATATTTATATACATACAACATATATATACACACACACATATATACATAAATACATATATACATAAGCACACATACTCGTGTAACCTCTGTAATCAAGATACATGTTTCTATCACCCCAAAAAGTCTCCTCGTGTCTTTTTGCAAAGGACATACTTATGCACTCTAGGCTAGAGTGTGTATTGGTATAACCACTTTAAAAAACAATTTGACAGGCTCACACCTATAATCCCAGCACTTTGGGAGGCTGAGGCAGGTGGATCACAAGATCAAGAGATCGAGACCATCCTGGTCAACATGGTGTAACCCCGTCTCTACTAAAAATATAAAAATTAGCTGGGCATGGTGGTGCGTGCCTGTAGTACCCGCTACTCGGGAGGCTAAGGCAGGAGAATTGCTTGAACCCAGAAGGCGGAGGTTGCGGTGAGCCGAGATTGTGCCATTGCGCTCCAGTCTGGGTAACAACAATGAAACTCTGTCTCAAAAAAAAAAAAAAAAGAAAAAGAAAAACAATTTGACATTATTTTGTAAACTTGAACAATCATATACCCTATTACTCATCAGTTTAACTTTAGATGTATACCCCTACCTAGAGAAATTTTGCACACAAGCATCAGGAGTTATATATAGTATAAGAATGTTCCTAAAAGCAGAAAGCTAGTAATACACCAAATGCTTATCCACAGGAGATTGGATAAACTGGTATATTTACATATTGAACATAATACACCAGTAAAGCTTAAATTACTACAGTACATATATGGATGAATATTAGAAACATAAAATAGAATAGGAAAAAGCAAGTTACAGAAGATTGCATATTTTATGGTACCATTTTAAATAGTTATTAAGGGAAATAATGGTATATTTTAATACAAAAATTATATGCAAAAAGCTATTAAAGAAGCAAGAGAGGAGAGATCCAAGATGGCTGATCACTAGCTGCTCGGGATTGTAGCTCCCAGTGAAAACACAGAGAACGAGAGGACGCCACACTTTCAGACCAATTTTTGTTGCTCACAGACCAGGAGATTCCCAGCAGAGGAGCCCCACAGGTTGCCAGCGCAACTCTTGTGGCCGGTGCGGTGGTTTTGCCGGTGCCTTGGCATGGTGGTTCTTGGTGCAGAATAAATGGGACTGGGTCCCCTTTTGGTCGACGTTTGGAGCTCCAGGAAGGCAGAGTTGCCTATTCAGCTGATTGAAGGACGGACTTAAGAAGGAAGCCAGACCAGAGATTCCCGGGCAGAAAAGCACCATCAATCTTAATGCCGCTGTTTTAGCCAGCATAGTGGGTTGCTCAGATTCCAGCACTGGGAATCAACAAGTTAGACATTTACTCAGAATTAATTAGAAAGTCGGTAATTACAAAGATGATAGATGGAGAAATATATAATGATGGGACAAAACGAGCCTAAAAAGGCTGAGAATACCCAAAATCAGAATGCCTTTCCCTCTATAGGGGATCACAGTTCCTCATCAGCAACGGAACAAGGCCTGATGGAGAACGAGTGCATCAGAAGTAGGCTTCAGAAGGTGAATAATAAGAAACTTCTGTGAGTTAAAAGAACGTGTTTTAACCCAATGCAAAGAAACTAAGAACTTTGAAAAAAGGTTTGATGAAATCCTAAGGAGAATAGACAATTTAGAGAGGAATATAAATGAATTAATGGAACTGAAGAATACAATGAGAGAACTCCGTGAAGTAAGCACCGGTTTTAACAGTTGACTTGATCAAACAGAAGAAAGGATATCAGAGGTTGAAGACCAAATTAATGAAATGAAATGAGAAGACAAGATTAGAGAAGAAAGAGTGAAAAGGAATGAGCTAAGTCTCCAAGAAATATGGGACTATGTGAAAATACCTAATTTACGTTTGATAGGTGTACCTGAATGTTATGAAGAGAATGAATTCAAGCTGGAAAATATACTTCAGGATATTATTCAGGAAAACTTTCCTAACCTAGTAAGGCAGGACAATATTCAACTCCAGGAAATACAGAGAACACCACAAAGATATTCCTCAAGTAGAGCAACTCCAAGATACATAATCGTTAGATTCACCAGGGTTGAAATAAAGGCGAAAATTCTAAGGGCAGCTAGAGAGAAGGGTCAGGTTACCCCTAAAGGGAAGCCTATCAGACTCACAGCAGATCTCTCAGCAGAAACCCTACAAACTAGAAGAGAGTGGGGGTCAATATTCAATATCCTCAAAGAAATGAATTTTCAACCCAAAATCTCATACCCAGCCAAACTGAGCTTTAAAAATGAAGGAAAAATAAAATTTTTCATGAACAAGCAAGCACTCAGAGATTTTACCACCACCAGGCCTGCTTTACAAGAACTTCTGAAAGAAGCACTATACACAGAATGGAATAACCAGGATCAGTCATCCCAAAAACTTACCAAAACGTAAAGAATATCTCCATAATGAAGTATCTGTATCAACTAATGGGTAAAATAGCCAACTACATTAAATGACAATATTAAACTCACAAATATCAATAATCCTAAATTTAAATGGATTAAATACCTCAATCAAAGACAAAGAAAGGAAAATTGAATAAAAGTCAAAACCCATTGGTATGCTGTATCCAGATCCATCCCATAAGCAAGGACACACAAAGACTCAAAACAAAGCTTTGGTGGAAGACTTACCAATCAAATGGAGAGCAAAAAACAAAACAAAACAAAACAAAACAGGAGTTGTAACTTTCGTCTCTGACAAAATAGACTTTAATATTAACAAAGAAGGACATTATATAATGGTAAAAGGATCAATACAACAATAGGAGTCAATGATCATAAATATATATGCACCCAATATAGGAACACCCAGATACATAAGACAAATTTTCAATGACTTATAAAGAGACTTGGACTCCCACACAATAATGGCGGGAGACTTTGACACCACTTTGTTAATATGCAACGGATCAACGAGATAGAAAACTAACAGGGACATTTATGATTTGATCTCAGACCTGCAACAAGTAAATTCAGTGAATATCTATAGAATTTTTCACCCCAGGTCCACAGAACATACCTTTTTCTCAGTATCACATTACACCTATTTTGAAAGTGACCACATAATTGGAAATAAATCATTCTTCAGCATTTGCATAGCATTTCACAGACTTAAATGAAATATTGGTTGGCTGTTGGTTTGTTATTTTCTTCCCTTGTTCCTTCCTGTCTCCTCTGATAAGTACAATTATCGGCATAAAAAAGGTTTTTAATACCTATTTTTAGATTGCATTCCAGCCTGGGCAATAGAGCAAGATTCCTCTTCTCTCTTCCCCTTTCTTTTTCTCTTTTTTTTTTTCTTTAAAAAAAAAGAAAGAAAGAAAACGTAGCTCTGATTATGTCACTTCTTTGGATCAACAACAACAACAACAAA